GGTGTATTCATTGGTTTCAGGCCCAAAGAAAGGCAAAACCTGACTTTTGGTGGTTACACTGCTTGTTGAAACAGAAAACTGAACAATATTAGAGCTTTTGAGAATGTGCACTTAGAAAGTTTGAACCTTTTGTTCAAAAAGAGCCTCTGGGATACTTTCTAAATTCTCGTCTCAGCCAAGTGATGTTTGTCGTTTCTTTCAAACCCGATGCAAAAACTTCATCCAAAAAGCTTTCCTTGGCAAAGCCCACATAAGTCCTCCTTCTTTTGTACACTTTTATCATTTTCTTCCACGTTATGTCATACAAATTGATATGTTGCTTGGTATTACAAATACTCAGTGTGTGCGTGGTCAGTGTATATAAAAGGCTTTTTCTTAATTCTCTGGCTTTTTCTTCCTCTCGCTGGTCTCCACCTTATCAGTATTGGTGCCATTCTCTGAACATGGTAGGCCATTCAGAATGCTGTTTGTCAGAGGAAATTGGCTGCTCTTTCTTTGTCCCTAAAGAAATCATGATAGTTTTAAAGCATGGCCTTAAAGCATCTCCCTTAACTGAGGCTCTTTCTTTTTTCTTCGTATTTTAGTGCAGACTTGGGCCAGCTGTCTAAATTGAAAATCTAGCTTGATGTTTATTAGCTCCATAAAAGTTTAATGTTAATTGGCTTTCCACTAATCATTGTTTTGAAACATTGGGCAAAGTACTGAATTTTTGTTTATTTAGTAAGAATTTTATTTCCAAAAGAAGATAACCAATTTTAGTTTTATTTATTTTTTAATATCTGAGGTAATATGAAGTAGTAAATGCCACATAGCAGGTGCTATACTAATGGAAACACTGCTGCTATTAGTTTTATAACTTATGAATTTTTCAGATTGTTCTATAATTTTTTTTTAACTTTAAGTTGGCTATACTTTCTATAATTTAGCTAAAGACATCCTGTCCCTTATCTCTCTGTCTCTGTGAACCTTAGCACTAGAGAATGGCCTTTTGTTTTGGTCCAATTAAATGAAAAATTTATTCTGTATCACATTCAAACATTTATAGAACCCAGTCTATTAATATTAGGATAATTTTAAGTTCATCCGGATTTCTTATAGCACTGAGATCCTCCCTGCTGCCAGCACTCTTGCTGCTTTCTAAATTAGTAATTAACTGCCATGAATTGTACACATGTGCAGGCATCTGAAGCTTTCTTCAGGCACCTTATGTTCTGCAGTCTGTGGCCTCCAAGAAAGATATTTTTCTGCTTTGTTAATGACTAAGCCAAGATAAATAGATGTTCTTGGGCGGCGAGCAGCTGAACATTTTCGACAGTTTTGACTCCTTTCTTTACTACATTTGCATAGTTTGTTTCCTTCTTATTGTAGATCACAGTGAGATGCTTCTTAGCATGTCTCATTGGAGTAGACAGGCGGGAGATGTGTCTGGAGCATGTGTGTGCAGCCTGCCCTTCACACAGCATGGCGGAAAGTCCAGCTTTCTGGTTTCTGTGGTCCCAAAGTAAGGCATGGGCCCTTGACAATATTTTTCTTCCCTTGCACTGTTCTTACAGTGTGATCTTCATGTTACTTGGTTTTCACCTTGTCCTTATCGTTCAGCAGCCATTTCCTGAGTGCCCGCCTGTTGTATGCCAGGCACCATTCCAAGGAAGTTTAGTGTTGTCTCTTTGAGAGAGCATGATCTCATCTTATATTTTATATTTTCTCTCTCCTGGCTCAATACCAGGAGATCCCCAAATTTGTGACCGGGAGCTACTTGGTTCCTTCTAGGAGCTTCGTGGATGGGAAAATGTATCTGGCACACACCCATCTCAGCTAGTGAAGGTGAGGACCCAGCAAGGACCAAAGTGGCCTCCTAGTCCTCTAGCTCAGGAAGGGAGGAGTACCCTTAGCCATCTTTCTGCAGTTTCCTCCTGCCTTGTGGGGCTGGCCTCCTTTCCTTCTGTGCATCAGGCACTCTGAAGGGGAGTGTGCCCCATCTGGGTGACGCCTAAAGGAAGCACAGTGCTTTCTAACCACTCCGCTGTTGGCATTGACCTTGAATGCTCTTAATAAGCTAAGGGTGTCTTAGCCACCCCTTCTGGCCACTGTCTTCCTTCATATATATTTTTTTCTTTCCTCCCAATGTATGGGCTGAGCTGACTTCAGATTCTGCTAGGATTACGTGGCTGTCAGTCAGCATGTGTGACAGGTGGGCATTTCATCCTGTCTTAGAGGGGACCCACCTCAGCATTTTTTATTATTTTGTTGCTCAGACTGATGACAGTGAGGAAAGGGAAGGTGGAAACCTCAAATCTTTCTCATTGCTCTGGAAGTCTTAGTCTAAAACAGGTTGGAGGAAGTGTGTGGGAGAAAGAATTTCACAAGCTTCTGGGCCTTATCCACAGCCAATTCTCATTTAAGAGTAAAACAAAATAAGTAAATGAGTCATTTCAATGGTGGGTGTATGAAATGATCAGTGCATGGATCTATACCAACAAGCTTGTTGGGCTGTGATGGAGGGAAGGAGTGAAATTACCTTTTTTTTTATAGTATCATTTCCTTTTCCATTTTATTTCTATTGAAATCACTGCTCTAGTACCTCACTGAGTTTATAGGTGCTTTAGAACTTCAGACAACTGCCTCAGTATTTCCAGCCGAGCGCAGCACCCAGAGTCCAGGAAAAATGGGGACAGAGGCAGAGGAAGTTGTTGGGGGTGATAAAGCAAAACTTAAAAGAGGGAGGATCTGCTGCTTCACTTACTTCTTCTAGCCACTGATCCTTCAGTCTTACCCTTGGCAGAAGAAAGCCAGTTTAGGCTCATGAGAAGTGTTCCCATGTGGATAAGCAGCAGTAAAACTCATCTTCTTCAACAGAGAAGCTAGAGAAACAGGATTTCAGTTGACGTTCCAGGAACAACACCCTGCCCACATCATACAGCTGGCCCGGTGAGATCTGCTGCCACCTCTGCTGCCAGCTGCACCTGCCAAACAGGTGCTCTTTACCCAGCTGACTCTTCCCATGTCCCGTTTCCAAATTTGCCTCATGTAGGTGTGTCAGACGATGAAACCAGGTCCTGAGTCTGCATCTTAATAGCAAAGGAGGTTGAGAAATGTCGTTTGTGTGGGTTCTGTATTGGGAAAAGATTCACAGTGCAGGGAAGCATCAACATGTGGAGCCATGACAGGGTTCGGGGGCAGTCAAAAATTTAGATGTTCCTTACAGGACTGCATTAGCAAGTCTAGCACAGAAATTCCTAATGATAGGAGTAACAGTACAATTTTAATGATCAACTGCCAAAAATTGAAAATAATTCTAGATGACATGTTATTTTATGACTTGATCTGCTGAGGGAGCTATGGTTGTCTATACTACTATTCTACATATCTGTCCTTCATTTACTCTCTTAGGTTAGTTATATTTTTAGTTTCTGATGTGTCCACCCCTCCCCATGCTTATTATCCATGACATGGTGGCAACAGTGTATGAGATTAGGCTATCAAGAGAGGAAGCGTTTAAAAGTGGTTTCCAGAGGGGGAGGGGGTTGGGGAACTGGGTGAAAAAGGTGAAGAGATTGAGAAGTACAAATTGGTAGTTACACAATAATCATTGGATTGTAAAGTACAGCATAGAGAATACAGTCAATAATGTTGTAACAACTAAGTATAGTGCCAGGGGTGTACTACACTAATTGGGGAGATCACTGCATAAATTACATAAATGTCTAACCACTATGCTGTACACCTGAAACTAATATAAAATAATATTGAATGTCAACTGTAACTGAAATAAATAGATAAATAAATAAATAGTTTTATCTAAGTCTCCGTGAAGCCATATTCTTTTTTTTTTTAAAGATTTTTTTTATTTTTATTGGGGAATTGGGGGGATGGGAACAGTGCTGGGGAATTGGGGGAAGGGGAACAGACAAGTTGCTGTCCTTTTGTTCTTCAG